AAATAAAAGCATTTTGATATTAAATAAAAATATTTAAAGCCACATATTGCATTCAGTTTTTATGTATTTATTGAGTTTATTGGGGTGACATCCTTATATAATAAAAAGCTAATATGCAAACTGTCCCCTCGGGAGTTCGACCAATTGGGAGTTTGACTGCTCACTATGACGTGTGCTGACCACCAGGGGGCAGCACAGAGCGAGCCCTCCTGTTTCAACCCAATGGGAGTCCCCGGGGAAGGAAGGCCCCCGCTAGCAGCCGGCAGCTGGAGGAAGGAAGGCCCCGATTAGCCGTGATCGCCAGCCAGGCCTAGGGACCCTACTTGCGCACAAATTTTGTGCACCGGGCCTCTAGTTGGTTAATAAAATTACATAGGTTTCAGGTGTACAATTCTATATCATCTTCCTATCCATGAACATGGTATATGCTTCCACTTATTTGTATCCTCTTCAATTTCTTTCTTTAGTGTCTTATAATTTTCTGAGTATAGGGCTTTTACAACCCTGGTTAAATTTACTTCTAGGTATTTTAAATTTTTTTGAAGCAATTGTGAATGGGATTGTTCTCTTAAGTTTCCCAGATAGTTCATTATTGTTTATAAAAATGAAACGAACTTCTGAATATTTATTTTGTATTCTGCTACGTTACTGAATTCATTTATCAGTTCAGGTAGTTTTTTGGTGGAACCTATAGGGTTCTCTATATATAGTTTCATGCCATCTGCAAATAATGACAGTTTTATATCTTCCATTCCAATTCGGATGCCTTTTATTTCTTCTTGTCTGATTGCTGTGGCTAGGACTGCCAGTACTATGTTGAATAAGACTGGTGAAAGCAGACATCCTGTCTTGTTCCCAATCTTAAAGGCAATTCTTCTGCCTAGTTATTATGATGTTGGCTATGGGTTGGTTTGTTGTATATGGCTTTTATTACATTGAGGTATGTGCCCCTATACCTACTCTGCCAGGTTTTTATCATAAATGGATGCTGGGTTTATCTAATGCTTTCTCTGCATCTGTTGATATGATAATATGGTTTTCACCCTTCATTTTGCTTATGTGGTGTATCATGTTAATTGATTTGCGGATAGTATACCAACCTTGCACCCTCAGAATAAATCCCACTTGATCATGGTGTATGATCTTTTTAATATATTGCTGAATTCAGTTTGCTAATATTTTGTTGAGGATTTTTGTATGTATGTTCATCAGGCTATATTATTGGGCTATAATTTTCTTTCTTTGTTGTGTCTTTATATGGTTTTAGAATTAGGATAAAGCTAATTATAAAATGAGCTTGGGAGTCTTCCCTCCTCTTGAATTTTTTCGAATAGTTTGAGAAGAATAGGTGTTAGTTCTTCTTTGAATGTTTGGTAAAATTCACCTGTAAAGCCATCTGCTCCAGGACTTCTGTTTGCTGGAGGTTTTTTTTATTATTGCTTCAAGTTCACTAGCTGTAATCTGTCTATTCAGACTCTCTGATTCTTCCTGATTTAGTTTTGGAAGATTGTATGTTTCTAGAAATTTACCCATTTCATCCAAATTGTCCAATTTGTTGGCATATATTTGTTCGTAATATTTTCTTACAATCCTTTGTATTTCTTTGGTGTCAACTGTTACTTCTCCTCTTTCATTTCTGATTGGGTCCTCATTTTTTCTTGATGAGTCTGGTTAAAGATTTGTTAACCTTGCTTATCTTTTCAAAGAACCCAATCTTGGTTTCATTGATCTTTTATATTATTTTTTAGATTCTATTTCATTTATTTCTGCTCTGATTTTTATTATTTCCTTCCTTCTACTCACTGAGTTTTTGTTATTGTTCTTTTTCAAGTTCCTTTAAGTATAAAGTTAGATTGTTGGAGTTTTTCTTGTTTCTTGAGATAGGCCTGCAATGCTATGACTTCTCAGGACTGCGTCTGCTGTATCCCATAGATTTATGGGTTGTTGTGATCTCATTTTCATTTGTTTCAAGATATCTTATGATTTCTTCATTGATCTCATTGTTAACCCATTCACTGTTTAGTAACCTGTTATTTAGCCTCCATGTCTTTGTGTGCTTTTCAGGGGTTTTTTCTTATGATTGATTTCTAGTTTCATACCATATGGTCAGAGAAAACTGCTTTTTAAAAAAAAAAAACAACATAAAAAAGAAAAGTCAATAAATGTGGTTTGTCTAAAAACTTCTAATCTCTAAAAGTTTCTTTCAAATCATTATCTTCAAAATTTTTAAAAATTTCAATTTTGCAATGTGGGACAAACTATAATTTTGTAGCTTGAGTTTTAAAAACTTATGCTAAAAGAAGCATTTTGTTTTCACACAGATATAAAAGTTCTTAACTTGTAACATGGTATGTAAGTGATTAAGTAATCCTTAGCTAAACCAACAGTCATCTTTTGTGGATAGAGAAACCACTTGCATATTTCAGTCATTTCTCCTACGTCCATCACCACCCACGTTTCTAATTCAAATCCGGATGACTAATCATCTCCCTTGCTTTCTTATTAAAGATTGTCATAAAAACAATTAAAGGGCAGAAGGAACATACAGTAAATGCCAAACAAGTATGTGGGTATGCTTGTTTCAAGTATATGGGTGTATATCAAGGGATAGAAATGGGAATAGAAAGATGTTATAAGAAAAGGGAACTTTTCCAATATATGAAAACATTTAGCCTCCTGAGCATAGTTCCTCATATTATAGTCATAAAGACCCTGAAAGATTATCTCAAGGACTGCAGGGTGTCTTGATTAGTACTAAGTGAAGTTCCAAAAGGAAACACTAGATATACCACCAACTGTGCTCTAATGTTTAGCAAGTTTTATAAAAGAAGCTATTTAAATCTATCATGGCCATTCTCTCTCCAGCCAGAAAGTCAACAGACCTGTGGGTTTTATGCAGTTCTACCACCTTCTCTTCCAGCTCCTTTGTCTGGGAGGGGGCAAACTGGAAGTCACTGAGGTCATGACTGGCATGTTCTTCTGGGTCATAGTCTCCAAGTTCAGCCTGTAGTGTGTAAGATCCCAGGAGGGCATGAGTCACAAAAGAACAGGGCAGGCGGCCAGAGGCAATGTCCTGTCGGAGCTGAAGGCACAGGAAGTATCTGAGAAGCAGGGGGAGAAAAGGATTGAAGAGAACAAGAAGTTAAGAATGCAGCACTCATAATCCTTGAGTTCTAATAATCCATTTGAAAACAAATATATAATATAGGCACTCTTCATATCCCTAGTAAAAAAAAAATTCTTCTCTAATACAAAGCCCATCTTGCTCCTTGGACTCGCAACCTTGTGGCTTATAATACAGAAACTGAGTCTAGAGAGCTAAGCAATAGAATGCAAACTCTGAACTTCTATTCCAGTAGTAGTGTATTATGACTATGATTATTACAACAAAGAGTTTTATGACCAAAGGTAAAAATTCCAATCACTGTCCCCTTGGATTTAAAACTAATCAAAATGAGCATGACCTCAAAAGTTGTAAAAATTAATAAAAATTTAAAAATAGCGGTAGTGGGGGGTAGGAGAGGCCGGGGGAGGTCAATGGGGTAAAAAAAAAAAAGAGAGACAAATGTATTACTGTTTGTAATGCTTTAAACAATAAAAAGAAAAAACAGGAAAAATAATTATAATTTTGTCCCCTGCCTTTACCTCCCCCCAAAAAATAGCGGTAGCTCTTAAGCATTAGCAGAAAAGTTAAAGTCATCCTGCCCTTTTTCCTCTCTACCCTTTTCATACTAGTTTCTTATTTTTCTGAGACACCTTTAACAACAATTATAAGTTAGTGTCTACTTTGAAGCCCTAACTTGCCCACTTACCCCATGTAAAGAGGTAGCTAGTTCAGTTTGTGGTAGAAAAAGGATGGGCTTCATAGTGAAGCAAAGTTAACTCTTTGAGCAAGATAATTTACTCACCTAAGGTTAATTCACCACCTGTAAAATGGGAAAAACTCTACCTCCCTCTGAAAGTGAGGGTGAAAAATTAGATAATATAAACACATTGCATGGTATCCTGGGAATCAATATTTGTTAGCCATAATCATAATAATGGTATTATTAGTTATAATAATTATTATTCCATGTACCAAGTAGCTTACCACACAGTTATAAAAGATTCTGTTTTTTCATTAAATAACATGGAGAAACAGACCTGTGGGTTTTATGCAGCTCTACCACTATTTATATTCTATGAGGATTTTTTGGGGGCACTCTATCAAACTCCTTTTGGTGACATTTTAAAGCCTGATTGCTCAAATTTAATCAATTGCTAAGGTTACTAACAACCACCCCAAACTAAATGGTTCTCATTTTTGAAGATTTGTTAGTGACTGCCATTCCTACTGGCAGGTAGCCACCTTCATGTGGACACTTCTGCCTAGCATGGCTTTCAGTGCCCCTGCCCCGACCTCCTCTTATCCTCTCCCAACATATTCAAACAGGCGCACTGCCTCTCAGCCAGGCCTCACTGCTGTTCAGTCACAGAGCACGACCCAGCACATGCTATCAGCCATCACACAGCTCAGTTCAACCAGGATTACTAGACACATCTGTCAGGCAGGCCAGAGACTCTTTATCATCATCACAGTTCCACAGCTGGCAAAGTATTTGCCACATGGTGGGTGCTCAATAATTTTCTGAGAATGAAAGTTGTCTCACTATCACTGCAGTCTGAGTGTTTTTATGCATTGCAGAAGCTCTCTTTCTAAGGAGGATTATGTTTCCTTGACTCCTAGAACAGCATGAATATTACTGTACTTATTTTATTTTCACTTTTAAATTCATTTTTATTGTTGACACTATTACAGATATCCCTCACTCCCCTCCCGCAATGATCCAGGTTATCCTCCAATTCTCTAAGGCTAATCAAGAACAGTGCTACTTTTCCACATTTTATGACAGTTTTAAGGCCTATCCACAAAGAGTCCATCTATTACTAAAATCTTGTTGCTCCCTTTTATAATATTGTCTCTACTTTTTCCACTATCTCTACTTTTCCCATTGGTGTTTTCAAAGCTTAAGTTTGAAGTACAAAAAGCTTCCAACAAAAACTACAACAGCTCCCTGAATTTTCCAACTTGGGAAATTTACATTGCAGGAAAGAGCATTCTTTAAACATTATTCTGAACACTGTTTTTGCCATCCTCCAAAGCTTACCCCTCCTTCTAAATGTTCACTCAAGTCGTGGTCAAGATTTCAATCATGACAAGCAGGCCACCAGCTTACACGTACAGGCAAGGTGGCTGGTCACAGGCTGCACTGCCACGGCTGTTAGTTAGCCCACTAAATATATCATTCCTCCCCCTATACACAGAGAGACTGTTAAAGCCCAATTTGAAAGGAAAACCAAAGCACTGATGATATGCAATGTAACCCGAGGACCTACTGTATAGAACAGTGTTCCTTGGCCATGTAAATAACCTTTTAAAAATATATACAAATCACCTAATCGACTTACTCTTACTAAAGCTAAGAAGTCCTACCACTGGTACCCAGTTGAATAGGATTAAGACATGAAGGCACAGGCAGATACAAGAATGTTCCTTGGTTACCATTCAAATACTCAGCCACTCTCAGAATCAGGAAATGCTGTCTTGCTCCTAAACTGAATCTTGTATTTGTAATTTAAGCATATGTTTGTATATTCCAGACAATCTCCGAGGAGATGAAATGAAATACTATTGGCTCTTACATAAGAAAGTGTACCTTATTATTTGTTTGGGGCAACAAAAAAACTACAGTTCAACTGACTTTTAAAAATAATTTCATTTTCTACCCTTATATCACCTTTGTAATATGAGATTAGTTCACAGGAACATATGGGTTGTATAATAAGAACTATCTTATTGAAATGTGAAATATTAAATATCAATGATTTTTAAAGTATAACATAGGAAATAAAGTTGCCAGCAATATTTTTAAAAATATTTCATTACTCAAATATAAAGATAAATTAAAGAAAAGTAAATAAAATTTTTCAAACTGGCAACCTTTCAAACCATTTTGGAACATCCACTTCCAAAGGTACTTCTAAAACTCAACTTAAGAAAACATGTTTTCATTCGAATAATGAAATTATAATCATTACCTCAGGGCACAGAAATAAATGAGAGCATAAGGAAAGGTTCGTTTTTTTATGTAAATATGAAGTACCTGGTGATATCTTCAGTCAATTGAGATGGATCAGGAGGATAAAACTTCACATTAAAAGTGAACAGCCAGGGAAGATCTGTAATTATTAAATCATAGTTATTCATCCAACCAACAGAATGACTATTTATTTATTTAATATTTTTATTTATTTCAGAGAGTAAGGGAGAGGGAGAGAGAGAAACATCAATGATGAGAATTTTGGATCAGCTGCCTCTTGCATGCCCCCCACTGGGGATTAAACCTGCAATCCGGGTAAGTGCCCTGACCTGGAATCAAACTGTGACCTCCTGGTTCATAGGTAGACGTTCAACCACTGAGCTATGCTGGCCTGGCTATTTTCATAAAACTTAAAGGTCTACTTCAAACACTGTACACTAGTTCCTGCATAAATCAGTTTAGAGAACTTCATTTTTTAATTTAAAGAAAACATCATTTATAAGACAAAATAAGAAATAAAGTAAAAATCAATTACATAAATAACCCAACATTTAAGAATAATAGGATCACATTTTTAAATAAATGTTTACTGGTACTTCAACAAATGTTTTGTATGGTGATGTATTATGTAAAAATTTTAATATAACTTCCATGGAATAGTTCTGAGATAAGATTTGTTTTGACCACAGAATTTCTAGATACCAAATATTCTCCACCCTCTAAAGAAAAAAGCATTTTAAGATTTCTACACTGTTGGGGGAAGAAGGATAATGATCTAGTGATCACTACAACTATTCAGGTAATTATTTATGGGTTATTTGAAGGAAGTGTTAAAAGAAATCCCAAAGAAAGGAGATAGTGGTAAATGTCACAATACTTAAAAACAATAAAATTATTGCCCAGGTTTTCTAAGTACACTATATGTAACATATACTTTGCTGTACTGTGTCAAAAAGAATGACTATATCAACCATGTCATAAATGACATTAAAAGTTAAACATCTATTCATACATTAACATTTAACCATTCAATATAGCATGCTTCAGGTGGCCTTTAAAAACAAACAAAAAGCACACACAACTCTGGGACGAGATAAGGTATTATTTTCCCAAAGGGATCCAAATAATTCCAATGGCCTGAATTTAGAGTTGTGCTCGAAGTTCATAGTATTTCCAAATTAAAACCAAAAAGTGTGCAATATTTCATTTCATACACATTTGAAGGTCTCACAATTGCTTTAATTTACAGACTTGAAGAAAAAAATTTTTTGACTCCCATTCTTTTGTCCAATGTGCCATTTTGCCTTTTCTTGACAATAATCAGCATACTAACTATACTAATGAATGGCTACTGTGAACACATCAGAACTTTTGCTGGATTTTGGTTCAAAACAGTAATATTCCGCTAATAAAGTCAATTCTGTTGAATTTAAGAAAAAAAGTTCAGTTTTGCTTTACACATTAAAAATATCACAAAGGGACTTTCTTGGCTATGGAGAGACACATGTTTCTTGGCCTGCAGCACCATGCTGGCTAGGACGCACATGCACTTCTTCAGCTGCTAACCCATAATTAACAGTCATCATAGAATCATCAGTTCTTAATGGAGCCTACTTATTTGTTTTCTAGGTATTAAAACTAGCACATGCTTGCCTAGACATGACTACAGGAATACGTTTCTAATGGAACACATATTTTAAGATATATTTCCAATTCTAACATTGATAAAATGCACCAATAATGCTACATGTTTCATTTCATTACATATTATTATTATCCTAATTTTTACCTAGCTACATATAAAGTCAATCTAGTTATGAATTGTTCATATATTAATTGTTCATACTTAAGGCTTAGTCTTATTATCTACATAGTTTTATTTGTATACATTTGAAACATAAAGATTTTAAAAGACATTTTACACAGGAACCACTAGGTTGTCAGTTGTCAAAAGTAACTAAAAAAAAGATTAATTTCTACCTTTGCTAACTGCCAATTAACTGAATAACAATAAATCCTAGCAGAGGCTGGGCTAAGATAGAACAAGCAGTTCTGTTGTCCATTTTAATACCAGCAGAAAGACAGAAGTAAAATCCAACAGCAAAACTTCAGTTCCACAGCCTGCTTTCATGATTGGGACAGTACAGGGTTCCAGTTAGGGAACTAGCAACAATAGTCTGAAAGAGTCAAATCCTATTTGTTACTGTTATTCCTCTTGCCAAACTGCAAGGGCAAAAGTTCTGAAATAACTTTTTAAAAATTTCACAAATAATCAAAACATAAGACCATCCTATATAATAAAACCCTAATATGCAAATCGACCAAACAGCGGAACAACCGGTCACTATAACAAGCACTGACCACCAGAGGAAAGATACTCAATGCAGGAGCTGCCCCCTAGTGGTTAGTGCGCTCCCCCTGTGGGAGCACCGCTCAACCAGAAGCTGGGCTCAGGGCTGGCAAATGCAGCAGCAGTGGCAGGAGCCTCTCCCTTCTCCACTGCAGGCAGGCGGTAAGGAACGAGGGGTTCCGGACTGCAAGAGGGATGTCTGACTGCCAGCTTAGGCCCAGGGATCAGGCCTAAGCTGGCAGGTCAACATCTTCTGAGGGGTCCCAGATTACGAGAGGGTGCAGGCCGGGCCGAGTACACGTATTTCGTGCACCAGGCCTCTAGTGACTCATAATCAGCAATAGTCTTGCCTTTCAAAAGTTAGAAAATCTCCATGACTCTAAAATGAGTGGCACATAAAAATAACCAAACAAAACCATAGGAAACAACTCAATGGAACATCAATCATGTTTCAGAGGTTATCCTGCTCTCTCCTGTGTGGGTCACTTGGCAGGTCTGACTTCAGAGAAAGTGAAAGAAGCAAGCATCTGTGCCTTTCTGAATTTGTGCACCTTTTAGAGCAAGTAGTAACTGTAGACAGGACAGGGAAAGCTCCAATGCTTTCTCGTGCAATTTCTTCCATAACGTCAGCATAATGTATCTGTGTCTCATTTTACTCCTTTTCTTTAACCCCCTCTCCCTCTCCATCATGAAGCAAACATACACAGATTAAACACCAAAATAATAAATGCAGGGAGAGGGGGGAGGCGGGAGGGAGGAGGGATGAAGGGGGAGAAATGCTGGAAAGCCAGGGGTAGTAGTCAAACCATCCCAGTTTGCCCAGGGCTGTCCAGGTATTATCGTTCAAGTCCCACATCCTGACAACCCCTCAGTTCCTCAGTCCTGGGCAAATCAGAAAGGTCATTGTAATTAAAGATATAAAATAACAGAAAAGAAAGATGAGTCTGTAAGGAGAGGAAGTAGAAAAAATAAGATATAGATAGATAGATAGATAGATAGATAGATAGATAGATAGATAGACAGATAGATATACTTATGCTGAGAACAGAAAAGGGGGTTAGAAAAGGAGAGTAGAAATGATAGAAAAACTACCAAAAAGATTAATAATTTGAGAGAGAAAGGAAAGAAGTGAAGAAGAATGTGGAGAACCTAAAGTGGGACAGAAGGTAGGCGGGGAGGAACAGAAGGCAAAGCACAGGCTGGCTCCAGTGTTCTGGTGTCAGGAATAGTAAAGGCAGGGAATGGAACCCAGGGCACAAAGGGCATTCTGCACTGGCACTCAGTTTCACTCCGGCCCACAGGCCCAGAGGCTCTAAGAAATCTATTCTCCTGCCTGAAAGTTCCAGCTGTTGTGGCTCCCTAACTTTTCTGCTTCAGTCACTCACAGACCCTGCAGTACATTAAGTACTGATTTCCTGTGAGAGGTTTCTCTGTGGGTAAGCATGTTTCTTGGCACAGATATGGCAAAACCAGCCACAGGCCAGTCAATCTGCAGAGGCAGAACCCACAGAGGAAACTGAAGCCAGTTAGGATGGGACACTGAGCGTCACTTCGGGAGTCCACGATGAGAACAAATGGGGAAACTGAAGAAAGGGCCAAGCAGGACTAATGACAAACCCAGACTCAAAGAGCACGTTAAGTGGCCCGTGGGACAAAGGAGTAGAGAAGGCAATGGCCTCAGAGGACTGAAAAAATCCTTCTACACATTTTCTCCCCATAGTACTCACTCCAGCACATCTACAAACAGTGTATCTATAAGCCTCTGGGGCCAGAGATATGCTTATTTATTAAACTAATTATACACTTTCAAGATGAAGCGAATAAAGTAATAAATTTACCTGGGGTAAAATTTACATAGATAATAAAAGTTACAGAAAAGCAGCTTCTCATTCATTTCTACAGAGAAAAAAGTCAGATATACTTCAAAGTGGTAGGTACTGTGAGAAAACACTGAGGACTGTGAGTCTAGAACCTCTTGACAATACAGGAGTCCCTAAGCCCTATACAAAGTAGTCATTATCCCAGAAAAATATCGCTAGTAGCCTTCACTTCCCATAAGACACAAATGCAAAATAGAGCTGATCATTCTATGACTATCTTATTATTATAGTCCATAAACTTTTTTAAAGATAGATATAAAGATTAATTTCAAAGTATGATCATTTAAATACTCACTTCTCAGTTGTCTCTTTATTTGTTTTGCAGGATCTAGCCAGTTCTGCAGGAGAGGAAAAAAGTGGTTAATCAACCCATAAGAAATTTCCCAGAGTCCAAAATGGAACCATTTACAGTTCACATACTTATTTAAATGTAAATAGCCTATATAATAAAAGCGTAATATGCAAATCGACCAAATGGCAGAAGGACCAGTTGGCGGGGGGCGGGGCCGGTGAGCAGGCGGCACCAGGCCAGCCAAGGTGCGTAGCGGGCAGAGGGAGGGAACAGCGATTGGGGGGTGGCGACCAGTGGTGGCAGAGGGGCAATGGGGGCGGCCGGCACCGTACCCTGATCGGCCTGTCCGGTTGCCTCCCACAGAGGGAGGCCAGACTGCAGCTTAGGCCCGCTCCCAGTAGGACATCCCCTGAGGACTCCCGAACTGTGAGAGGGCGCAGGCCGGGCTGAAGGACCCCCCCCTCCCCAGTGCACAAATTTTCATGGACCGGGCCTCTAGTATTTTAATAAAGTCCTATTAGAAGTAGCTTCCACCTATTAGCATTCCACTGAAGTACTGACTAGTATTTGAATATGTTATAAATAAAATATTACAACACTTTTAAGGTGAGTCTCTTGGGCTTCATTTTATGAGATATGAAATCAAACACCTATCCTAATGATGAGATAATATATCTACATACAGTCTTTTTCTTTTATTTCTAAATTACAGTTTACACTCAATATTATTTTGTATTAGTTTCCACTGTACAGTATAGTGGTTAGACACACACAGTCTTTAGTCTTTAAACTGCCAGGAAACAGCCCCTGTGGACACTGGAATGAGAGCTCAACAACTGGCTCCAGCTCATGAAGAATAAAATGTGAATTGGGAACTATTAGTTAAGAGTATATATACCACGATCAAACATAATTATCTCAACTCCTAAAGCTAACTCCTCCTCCTCCTTAAACGTTGTCTTTCCCTGCAACTATGTAATGCTATGGGAATACTGTCAAACTGGAGCAGAAACTTTCCTTCCTGGTCTTCGTGTAACATCCTGTTTAAACTTCATTCCAAGTTGGGAGTCACAATCATAAAAAAACTCTGTTTCTCTTTCCACTTACTACTTCCCTTTGAGAAAGTTAACATAAAAAGATTCTAGGAAACCATTATAACATCTTAAAGCTGAAAAGACCAAACTTGAACTACTGAGTTCAAGCAACCTAAGGACATTAAATATTTGTTTTTCAAAGCTATAAGCAAAAGATCCATCTAAAAAAATTTTTATGCGTTATTTTTTATACTTCTCCCACCTTATCCACAAGTCATTGTTAGAGTTACTTTATCTTCATTAACACAGGAGAACAAGTACATTTTTTGAGCTACAGTAAACGAATTCAAATAATTGGCTGTATAATAAGTTTCATTCATTCTGTATGTACCCCAAATAATACCTGTATTTAAACAGAATTTTATTCAGACACATAAAGCAAACAATTAAAATGTTTATTATGTAGAAAATAATAGCCTACTGTCTCAACAAGATATTGAATTAGTACAACAGACATTAACTTACAAAATAAGAAAGTAGTAACAACAGGATGCTTTGAAAGCAAAGCTGCACAGACCCCTGTGGGTTTCACACCTGTCACAGCTTGCGCTCAGGGCAGCAAGGACCCAACCAAGGTGTGCATGGCTCTGTCCTAACACTGGTTATATTCAAACCTCTCAATAAAAAACTACCAGAGCTTGGTCTAGTTTCATATCACTGGTGTCCCAGCTGCGTGGCCCAATATGAGAAGGACCAGTGGAAACCTCTAATGGTACCTCCAGTGTGACACTGAGGAAAGCTCTAATTCTCCTCTTAGAAAAGAGCCTGGCATTCAGTCTCCTTGGCCTGCAGCTGCTGTCCCAACAACAGCTGGCTCACAAATGGCCGGCTATGATGAGTGAACAAAAATGAGAAAAACACATCATTCAGTCTCTAGCCCAGACAGAGGACAGACTGGGGGAGGGGCAAAGAAGGATCAAATGTGTTGGGGCATTTCATCCAAGGAAGTAACAACTACAGCAAAAAAAACCAAACTGAACCAGAGTCGCCTTGTGCCAAAAAGAAAAAAAACATCCTTTAGAACATTAACACAGAGAAAGAGAGTGGAGGGACAACTATGTAAAGACTGACAGAGCCCCTCCTACACCTCCTGCTTCATTAGGTGACAGATGATCTAGATGCTTTGCTACCGAAGAGAGAGGGGAAAAAAGCCTCTCTGTTCGAGGAGGAAGATGATAGAAGCAACATCATCTTCTGTGACCCCCAGAATAACTTAATGTCCCAGCCATTTGGCAACTTCCCTTCTCACCAGAAGACCAACCCCTTGTATGAATTACCTGACAGCTTCTGCACAGCATGGAGTCAATAGAGGTCTGTAGACTAGACCACGAGAGACAAGTTTCTATGCACCAGCCAGCCAAAGTCAGACTCGGTGTCATTCTCAGGCCACCTTCCACAACATTGCCAGCCACATTATTAAGACCCCTATCCAAAAACTAAGTGGGCAGAGTTTACCTTATGTGATCAAGTAGGAGCAGCAGAAGTGATCCCTTCCATTCATTCACCTATCCCTTTGCTAAACAGGTATCCCCTTTGCTAAGCACACTCACTTCCATACTCTAAGCTCCATTCCCACCAAGGAGTGAGGACGCCTTCTCCCTCCCCAGTACAACTTAGCAAGGGTCAGGATAGACCATATTACTTGTATCCTCCATAACACAGTTTTAAGCAACCAGTAGTTACTAGATGTTGATTAACATCTGCCCATTGCTTGCTACCTACCCCCCCTCAATGTTGTGGTCATTTTAAAAGACCACAGATTCTATTATTTCATTAATTTATTTTTATTTAAATAATAAAATCCAATGAATACTTAGATCATGAGTGGGATATAATTTTATGGCCTAGGAATAAAACTCATAAGTAAAAAAACAAAAATGACTTAATATATGACTTTTGAAAGAAATACAAGTCTATTTAATAGACATAGAACTCTTTAACAAATAAATAATAAACTTCTTGGTTTTGACACATAAGGAGGAGGCTGGGTGGATCAAGAAGCAGACACAAAAAGGTGGAAAAAGTGAATGACACAAATGTACACACATCATTATAGATCAGTGGTTCTCAACCTTCCTAATGCCGCGACCCTTTAATACAGTTCCTCATGTTGTGGTGACCCCCAACCATAAAATTATTTTCGTTGCTACTTCATAACTGTAATTTTGCTACTGTTATGAATCATAATGTAAATATCTGATATGCAGGAAGAATAAAATGTGAATTGGGAACTATTAGTTAGTGTAACAGTAATTTTGCATTGTTACAAATTGTACATAATTAAAGCACAGTGATTAATCACAAAAACAATATGTAATTATATATGTGTTTTCCGATGGTCTTAGGCGACCCTTGTGAAAGGGTCGTTCAACCCCCAAAGGGGTCATGACCCACAGGTTGAGAACCACTGTTATAGATTATGATGCATCATTCTCATTTTTTAAAATTTGGCTGCCACATTTATAGACTTTGGAATCAGAAATACATGGAGTCAAATTCTGGCTTTCCACCAACTTTTGTGTGAACTTGGGCTTATTCCTTGGCTTCTTTAAGCTTCAATTTCCTCAAGTGCAAGATGAGGATTGTAACATCTACCTCATTGGATAGTTCTTTTCCTGAAGACCAAGTACTTTGCCCAATGTCCTTAACAGATAAGTTCTTTTTGCAATGATAAAATTAAATCAACATCGTATTTTGGTATATATCCCTTCTTCACATAATTTTTTATTTCCAACAGACGAACAGATCTGGGGGAGGGGGGATTAACTAAAAAACTTATATGCATATATAGCCCATGGACTTAGACAATAGTGTCCTGAGGGCCTGGGGGCGGGCAGGGTTGGATGGAGGGGGAAGTAGGGAGAAAATAGCTTTACCTGTCTTGTCAGGTAGATGCCCAGCTTCCACTGGCTATATATTCTAATTGTTGACAGCTTCCTGCAGAAAGCCCTAGCATGTCACTGCTTCTGTGTTCCCACATCTAAGTGTTTCTTTGAACTCCTCCCTATCAGAGTCCCATTAGCAGTGTGAGTGTGCAGCTGCCTGTCCAGGGCCACTCACCACACTAGACCTAGATAACAACTCAAGAAACTATCTCTCCTCTAATTCCCCTTCAGACTGGATGCTGAGATCCCCAAGTTAGAAGTTTTCAAAATGCCTAGCCTTGTCTTCTTCACTCACGTTTGGTGCTTGTCAATTTGGCCAGGTGAGAGAAATTAAATTTAACCCAACTCACACTGTAATACCAAATGTTAAAAGTGTAACAGTAATTTTGCATTTCCCCTTAAGAAGTTATAGCAACAAAGCAGATCCCCTTTATTATACCTTTGCCTAAAGTAGCTCTAAGAGAACACTACCCAATACTGGTGGTAAGCAGAAAAGTTACAGGCTTTCTATATTATAGTGAACCATTCACTATGCATCTGGAAGAATGTAATTCAACTTTTGTCTGCGGTGTTATAAGGTGTAACTGGACTGAATAAAGAATTTTACTAAGTAGTTTATATCTGACCAAAAAAAAGGTTAATATTTGAGTTTTTAGTTCTAGTTTCTGGGGGAAAATGGCCTGGCTATGAGGCAAACACTTTAATCAATTTTCATAAAGTTAGCTGTGGATATCAACTACACTTCTAATAAACTCCCCTTTCAATATGGCTTGAAGCAAAATGACATCATAATCCAGGGCCAGATGCCAAACCTAATTAACATAAAAATTCAAGATAGTATTTTTCCCCTTTAAAGAAAGTCCAAATTTCTTATTGATGGTTCTATGTAGAAATGAATACAAGAACTTCATGGACTTGGAATTTCATATATAAAAGAGCAGTAACAAAGTGCTTGATTCTACATATTTTTAATGACATTTTCCATAGTAAAGTTTACACAAGAATTCTCAAAAGACATGAAAAAGTTCTAACACAAATAATGATAGATTTTCATACTCAGAGTAAATCGAAAGGCTTCCAACTCAAGGTCTCAACCATGAAAGACCCAACACAGTATTACACTAAATCAAAAGAAAGTTAAGATTTTTCTCTTCATGGAAACTTTTCACACGAATAACCATGGCTTTACCCTCACCTTTACTTTACAAAAAGGTGAAATGTTAAGTGACTGAAGTTTCTATAAATACAGATGTTATTCAGTACGAAAAAGAAAGCAGTTTAAATTTCTGTATCCTATAGTATCCTATTGTTGAAACAGCATGAGTTTCAAAGAAAATTGGACTGAACTAAGGTAGTTACAATGGTAATAATTTTCTGAGGAAAATAGGATACAATACAAATCTATATTTGAAAAATAAGAGTACTTTTGCCTAGATGTCTTCAGGACTGAATTTTATCTACACAAGCAAGAAGGAATAGAAAAATTATACAATACTTGCCCTGGCCAGTGTTGCTCAGTGATTAGAGCACGGGCCCTCGAACCAAAGTGTCTCGGGTTCAATTTCTGGTCAACAGCAAGTACCTAGGTTGCAGGTTTGACCTTCCACCCGGGTTGGGGCATATATGGAAGGCAGCCAATGGATGTGTCTCTCAAATCAATGTTTCTCTCTTTTTTTCTCTTCCTACCTCCCTCTCTCTCCCTCCCTCACCTAGGGATTGGGCCTGCCCTCTGCCACCCGGGAGCAGGCCTAAGCCAGCAGGTCATTATCTCCTGAGGGGTCCCAGACTGCGAGAGGGCACAGGCCGGGCTGAGGGACCCCCCCCCTGCCCCCCCCGAGTGTACAAATTTTTATGCACCGGGCCTCTAGTATTTTAATATTTTCTGCCTTGATGACCTTAACTTCTTCACTTCAGCCATCCTTTTCATGACTAAACACTTGGTTTTGTCATCACACAAAGCTCTCCACTTCATTAGGCTTCATCATCCCATTCTCAGGTGCAATTATCCCCTCTATTTTAAGTTTTCTACCCATTTATTCCCACTGTACCTCCTCTTTAACTTCTTTGGTCTTTCATCCCTTGGCCCTAGCCATTTCTCCCAGCTTATCAGCCCATTTCAGCTTCAGTTATGTTCCTCCCTGACCCTGTGAATAATCAGCTTGATTACTCTCTCATCAGTATCTCCAGTTTTCTAAATCTTTTGTCTTCTTATCATAACCCACATGAACATAGCCAACTTGGAACCCCTTTAAAAATAAAATAATTTTTTAATATATTTTTTATTGATTTTAGAGAGAAAGGGAGAAGGATAGAGCAACAGATACACTGCTGAGAGAGACACATCAATCGGCTGCCTTCTGCATGACCACTCCCACCAGGGATTGAGTCCAAAACCCAGGCATGTGCCCTGACTGGGAATCAAACCCGGGACCTCTTGGCTCATGGGTCGATGCTCAACCACTAAGCCATACCAGCCAGGTGGGAACCCCTTTAATACTCCATTTCTCCACTATCATAACCAGGTTGCAGGTGGCAATTAGAGAAAAACATATATATATATACTCATGGGTCGCTCAACCACTAAGCCATACCAGCCAGGTGGGAACCCCTTTAATACTCCATTTCTCCACTATCATAACCAGGTTGCAGGTGGTGG